TTACATTGCGGTCATCAATTGGGACTTTGAAAATTTGAAGTGAAGTCTGGGACGGATGCATCCGGACGCGAGTGAGAGGGGAACCGGCGACAATCGCTGAAGGCCTACCCACTTGGGGAAAATCTTGCGTGAGCGATGAGGGCGGGCAGAGGGCGATGCGCTTAGCAGCGGCCCGCTGCATTGAAATGAGACGCCTCTCATCCATCAAAAGCTTAGGACGCTCGCAGCATCTGGGACGGATGGGGAATTGAGGAAGCGCGCTACACGGAAGGAGACGTCCTTGACGTCCAACACCCCGACGCTTCGAAGCTTATAGAGCGTGTTGACATCTCCATAAGTGTCCGAAGAATGGTTGCCCAAGCCTTTGAGAGCGTTCTGCGCCTTATCTGCTCCCTCCATTGCTGCCACCTCCCTCTTAAGAAGCGTTTTCAGCGTCTCCAAATCCTTGACCGATGGAGGCGTCGTTTTGGCGACGAGGTGCCCCAATTCGCGCCTTTGCTCGCCCGTCAACTTGAGCCCATTGCTTGGCACAAATCCAAGAGCGCGCGGCAAGTCTTTTCCACTTCTGAACTGGACAATGAGGCTGAAAAAGAAGGCGAATGCAGCTTGCGTCGCAACAATCTGCTTTGCTCGTCGATGCGCGTTGGCGCGATGCTCCTGGGCCGCATTGTCCGTCGTCACGCTCTCGAGAGATCTCACATGGGAATGTGCGGGCAATTTGTTGTGTGACAGTGTAGGAGACGGACTCGAAGTCGCTTCGGTGCCCACAGAACGTGTCGTGCCATCGCCTTCACTCAGCCTGTCCTCCGTATCGACGCTTGCGTCTCCATCGCTGCTTTGCGCTTTGCCTCGATCCATCAAACTAGACGACCCTGCTCCATCTACCCGCTGTGAAGGGTGATGCAAGTCGCTAGGATCGCTCGTGGGCGCGATGCTGCCCGAGCAAGCTGTGACAAAGGTCTCGCTCTCCTCGCTCGTTCCCCGAGTGCGAGCCTTCTTGGTGTTTGATGACTTTTTCGAGACGTCAGCGGTATCGGCATCGGATCTGGAAGATGGCAAGCGATCCGCAACATTGTGGAAGCGAGCGGCATTCCGCTCGAGATCCATCTCTCGACCTTTGCCTTTCAAGTCCAGGTTCAAGGGCACCGGCTTGACCGTTGGAACCTTGAGCTCGGCTGCCTCCACAGTCAGATTGTCAGCTGCTGGTAGTGGATACGCGGCCAAAAAATTTTCCCGAAGCTTGCTCAGCTCCTTATACGCGGCTGGTTCCCCTTTTTGCTTCTCCAAAGCATCGTCGAGATCTGTCCAAAAGGATTCAGGGCAACGCTCAGCCAGTGCGCAACGCGACCGCATTCGCGACGAGCACCGAGGCAGCCAGGCTGCGTAGAAGGGCTCCTGCAATGTGGCCTTATGCTCACCTTGTACAGCCTCT